AAAACCCCCCCCCCCCCCCCCCCCCCCCCCCCCCACAAAAAAAAATCCCGATCGTATCCTTATTTCGTCATGATGGCCGAATTCTCCGTTAAGAGTAGAAGTTTAGTTGTACTCCTAAGGATATGCCGTACCACGGTACGTCGGATCAACCGTGCCAGGGAACGTACATACCACGACGTGTCATACAGATATATTTAATTAACACCCCCACCCCCAAACTGGCCGTGCTGTTTAAATAAAGGAGACCAATAAGGTCTTGACTTTCCTGTCTGGTATACATAGGTGCATCATTGATGGGGCGACATTTGATCTGAGGTCTCAAAATTTAACTGGTGATCACGTTTCAATTTTTAAACAAACTCCACGAATTTTTACACTTGAATGACGGCGCATGAATTTATAGGGTATTTAGCGTTATAAGTGGCACAAAGTTTTGTAGTTAACTTCCAGTAGCCAAAGTTTAGTAATCAAAAGTTTAAGTAGTTCATCTTCCCCCTGGGGCTCTGGTTGACAAGTCTGTGGAGGCTTACCGATCATGAGGCGTCGGCCACCGACCCCCTCGACGTTACCTAGGGAACAACACCACTGTGGCGCATCCTGCGTGGGCAGACAAGGGACGTGCTCGGTACCTGCCATAAATAACAGGTAACTACAGGGCTTCCAGCTGTGAAAATCCACAATTGCAAGTAATGTCTGAGACAGGGTAGGGATCATGATTACAATTTGCCGTTAATGGATATGAGGTGAGAGGAGAAGGTGGTAACCTCTGGCCGATGATTCTTACTAAGCAGCCCTGATAAGCTGCTCCAAGGCAACCGTTTCGTCCCAGCTACTTCGCAAATTTGTTGCGTCGTGGAAACCCACTGTCCCACTGTAAAGGGCGTCCAGCGCTTCCCCGGTATGGGTCGGGGAAGATATTAGGACGTGCATTTATCATCCGAACTCCTGAGAAAGTCGATCGTGTGCGCTGTGTGCGAACAGCGTCGGACCGACCAGGTGTTTTTGGGTTGGGGCGGCCCCAATCGAGCGGACTCGGGTTGGGGCTGTTCTGGCAAAAAGACATCTCCAACGTGCCGCTCCTCGGCCCGATACCGGGCTCAGGGGGGGGGGGGGTTGCTTTGGGGGGGGCATAAAGAGGGTTAAATCTCTTAAGGTGAAATTTCATTAGTTAATCTCCAGTGTGCAAAGTTATCTAATCAAAAGTTTAAGAAGTAAAAGTTTAGTAGTCAAATTTAAGTAGTAAACCTTCGGTAGTCAGCTTTCGTAGTCAAAAGTTTAGTGGTCAAAGCTAGTGGTTAAAGTTGAGCAATCAAAATATATTATAGTCCATGTTCACACACATCTTGGAGCTTTCAAGTAGATTGACCGGACACGAACAGTTTGTGTATAAAAAACAATGTATGTTAAGCTATCATTACGGTTAGACAATATACAAACTATAGCGTTTCAATCAAGGGCCTTATCATGCAAAACTTTCAAATGATTGATTGTATGTATATATATATATATATNNNTATATATATATATATATGCATGAATTCCTCAATTCAAATAGTTGTAATATAGAATAAATGATATGTAATTTGCAATCTGGTAAATTTGTGCAAATATTGAATTTTGACTTGAGGCACAAATTTAGATTAAGGAGGGCAGTCAAACTAAGACAACAGTTTACGGACTCATTTTCTGATCTCGATGCCAAGGAAGGAAAAAAAATAATAAAAAGAAATTTTCCTGACCCGTTTGATTGTGTATTTGATAAGCTGCTAGCCCAAAGTTAAATTTAATGAATCGATCTGCAGTGTTAATCTTTCCTTTCAAATTCAGACACAAAGAAGGAAATCTGATAGAATACTTAGTGACTCCCAGGAGGCCTTTTCTTAATTAAACGCATTTGATAATGAATTCATTTCATATCACGGTGGTTTTTGCTTCAAATTAGTTTGATCCAAGATCTCGTTTTTATACGGACATCCTAAGGTTCTTAAGGGCGTTTAAAAACAACAAAAAAATTGTTTACTTCGTCAATTAATAGAATGTTGGCAACCCTGCTTGGCTCTGCCTACTTGTGTGAGAAGAATGTTTCCAACCCTGCTTGGCTCTACCTACTTGTGTGAGAAGAATGTTGGAAACCCTGCTTGGCTCTGCCTACTTGTGTGAGAAGAATGTTGGCAACCCTGCTTGCCTCTGCCTACTTGTGTGAGAAGAATGTTGGCAACCCTGCTTGGCTCTGCCTACTTGTGTGAGAAGAATGTTGGCAACCCTGCTTGGCTCTACCTACTTGTGTTAGAAGAATGTTGGCAACCCTGATTTGCTCTGCCTACTTGTGTGAGAAGAATGTTGGCAACCCTGCTTGGCTCTGCCTACTTGTGTGAGAAGAATGTTGGCAACCCTGCTTGGCTCTGCCTACTTGTGTGAGAAGGAGACATTTTCACAAATGAGTTATCCCGCTACAGTGCAGCTCATCTTGTAAACAATGTTGATGATTGGGAGTAACTAACTTTGGGCCTCAAATTTATGTTATAGTGTCAGAAATAACTCGAACAGAATTTGTCCATTATTGGACCGACGTCTCTACCCAAAGACATTGCACCTTAATAAGTTATATTAATCTTCAAAATAAGCGCAACGCAAAGCCATTTCCCAGCAGTAAGATTATTATATTTCAGACAATATAAGTTGTTGTTTTTTTCTTCTAAATACAGTCAGTTAGGTTAAAAGGTTTTTGCCATAACTTTTTGAGGCCCAATCTTGACATCAGGATGTACTACCGTGCTGCCACGTCATCAGCTGTGATAAGATTGGTGGTTTTAATTCTATAATCAATATCGTTAAATAACTAAATCGATACACGCCGTGCCTTTCATACAGTTTATCAAGTCAGACCTGTTTTTACCCCCGGGTTAAGGTCAGCGTAATTATCAACACTCGAAAAACGTAGTCTCAAGCTCCAATGAGATCTTTGGTCAATGAGCGTGCCTCTACAAGGCAACATTCTGATTGGTTTATTGAGATCGAGACCGCCAAAGGTCAATCACTGTTATTCTTATTAGATGGCTTACGGTGTTAACACACAAAAAATGCTGCAACTTTTTACTGAAAACACTCCAATTTTGTATTTTTTTTAAATTTCATTCCAACTGAACCTACGAAACAAACTCCTGAAATCGCAGGTGTTTTTGTGTTTTTGTTTTTTTAAAGGCTCGTCGTTGTGCCGTAATTTTAGGCTTAAAATCGAAGGTACTACTGCGAAAGTGTTGGGGTAAAAAAGAATCAAGTCTGTAAATGCTATAATGTAATGTGAATACTACACAGATGTAAGCATCTACATATGACGCAAAATTATATTGTGGTCATAGAATATTTCTTACTTAAAACTTGAGCAGGGTCGCGCCTAAAATCAAATTTATGTAACGAAAAAATCAGTTGTTTTTTTTTTTTAATTTATTTCTGTCGAACTTTTGCTGAGTCACGATTCGTGCCTGGTCCACCCGTCCTTAGACTGAATCGATTTCAATGGACCGTGAAAACTTTCAAGTCATTCAAAATTTCTGCCGCTAAATCCGACACCGGAACATGCCCCACTTTAAGTTCCGCAGGGCACCCGCCCCTACCCTATTTGGATACCCCATTTAAAAAAAAACCCCCCCCCGTCCCTTAGGAAGGCCCCCCTCCCCGCCTTTTTTAGCTTTGTGGGGGGGGGGGGTGGCGGGTACAATGTCTAACTTTCATAAGAGACAGCTCCGTCGTGAAAGCTATGTAGTGTGGTTAAAATGAAAGTAAGCCCTATCCGCTGGCTCCCCCTAGCGGGTGGACAAACATGCACTCTTGACGTAGAGCACCAATATTTATCCCTGCCACGTGAGAGGCCGCACGAAAGGTAACTCTTAGGACCTAAAAGAGATGCCACTTTTTTTTTCTTTTAAATGTCACATAGGTTACCCGCTCTTGTATTTGTATCCAATAAAAGAATTGACTTGGCATCTGGTCCTCAATTATGATAATCATTTATTGACGCTCTCTTTGCTTTGCAGTTTGACAAACATTCTCCGAGTCTTCAAAATTTCCTTGCGTAGCAAAGTGTTCCATTATTATTTTTGTTGCAATTTTAATGACCGACGTAACGTGACGCGAAGACTTAAGAAAATAAGACGGCAGTTAAAATAATAGACGATTTTTATCTCACCTGTACATTCAATACCTTTAGTCAATATTAGGGAAGAAAAAATATATAGAGAGAGAGTGAGAGAGAGAGAGATGGAGAAGGAGAAAGTGTGTGTGGGGGTATATAAAGAGTAGGAAAGAGAGGAAGTCATGGGAAAGAAAGGAAGTCATGAGAGAGAGAGAGGAAGTTATGGGAGAGAGGAAGTCATGAGGGAGAGAGCAAGAGTTGGCGATAAAAGTGAGAGATAAAGATTGGGAGAGAGGAAGTCATGAGGGAGAGAGCAAGAGTTGGCGATAAAAGTGAGAGATAAAGATTGGGAGGGAGCGAAAGAGGGTAAGGGCGAGAGTTGGAGAATAGATGAAGAGTGGGAATAGGAAAAAAATGGGTGACAGAGAGAAAAGGTGGAAGAGACCGTTAAAGAGCGGAACGTTGAGAGATAAAGATAGATGAAGAGAGGGGGGGAGAAAGAATGGGAGAGATACAAAATGTTGGAGAGAGAGAGAAAGGGTGGGGCAGAGAGAGAGAGAAAGAGAGAGGCGGAAAAAGTGCGAGAGGCTGATACTGAGAAAGAGACTAAACGATAGAGAGAGAGAGATAGGTAAGACAATGGGTGAGAGATAGAGTGAGCTAGTATGAGAAAGAGAAAGATGGGGAGGGAGAAAGAATATTACTTTATTACTTTGTATTCACGTTGAGGACTACTTTGTGCATGTGAGCTTACTTCAATGACCGTTGGAGTCCGTTTGTCAATTCCTGAGACATGC